GGGGGGGGGGCTGCTTGATCGAAATTGACCATAGAATATGAGTAAAGATGAAAGACACAAGGAACCTAGGTGAATTCATCTAAACATCTACCATGTTGGTCGGTATTTATGCAAAAATTTTTGCTAATTGCTATTTGTTCCGCCTCCCGTTCCGCCCCTCTAAACTAGAGCAATGAAGTCGAAGAAAATCTTTTCCGTCCTTGGGTCTTGCCTTTGATCGTTTAAGTTCCAGAGCAAAGAAGGAATTAGAAGAGCCAAGGCTTTCTATGGGAAGTCGTGCGGAGACCACTTACTCGTAACCAAATATCAACGAGTCCCAGTACTTTTAAAACTAGACTGTCATGTCAACACTACTCTTTTTTAACAGCACCCATTGTTGTTGAGATGAAGGTCCTCTATTCTGTGGACTGTGGACTCGGCCTGATGCCAGTACCAACACCATTTCTTGAAATTATTGTAGGGCACTGTTTCTGCTCCAACAAAGATCGAACTCGTAGTCTTCCCGATGAGTGCAGTCATGAGCTCAGAAAGACTACGAGTTCGACCCTTGCCGAGGCACTTTCAACCATTGCCTCAGACTGAAGCGACATGGTCGAGAAGGAACAATCTGAAACTAAGCTATTGACATAAGATGCCGTTGATACCAAAAGGGCGACAGCACACATAAAAAGCGGACTTTGTAACTGAATGGGAATGATGCTAAGGCGAAGAAGGCAGCTTGGGAAGCCAACATCGGCTTCAATTGGGTCCAAGGTAAAAAAAACTCCTCACTTATTATACCTGACAAATCTAAGAACTAATTGGTAAGTCGTCCTTAATTTGGAGCTGTGAAAAGGCAATGATCGTCTCAAGTCTTTTCAAGGCCATGGATGTACTGAGCACCCACAAGAACGGTTATTCGACCACCTCATTCGACGATCGGCATTTAAGCGAACTATTCCAGACGCAATGCCAGCCAGATCTGTCAATTCATTTTTTGCCTGTGTCCTGACATAATTTGTAGCCCAATTTCCTAATCGTGTGTGTGCTCTTCTCTACTAGTTCTTACTTGCCTTCGATTTAATTCGTACTTCATACGGTTTATTGTTGCGACGACTATTGGAATGGCAGTTGGCTAGGATGAGAAATGAACGCTAAACAGTTGTTGAAGCTTTGGGGCACTGCTGCAGGTACAGTGCAAATCGACCAGAGTACGTTACTTTTCCATTTTGTACTGGAACAATCTGATTACTTACTACGGTGATTGTCTTCGACGATCTTCTTATTGTGTCCACAGCTCTTCCGTACCTCCCGATACTCTGCAATTTGAACCCAGTGTCATCTTTCTCTGGAATCTTTGGAAAAGGAATCGGTCCGCCGAATTGGCGGTCGTTCTAGCGATCTTGTTTCGTTTCTTGAAAGATACCTTGGGTTTCGGAGCTTTATCCTTTCGACGAAGTAGATGACTGGCCCAGCAGCACCTGGGATGTGGCATGCATTGAAACGGGTTTAGGCAGAACGTACAGCACACAAAGCTTTATTGTGGCTCTATGAGCTAACACTTCGGCCCAACTACTTTGTGTAGAAGAACGGACGCACATACACTGAAGATAAACCCACAGAAAAAAGCTTTGGGCTTACACTAAAATTATCATTTCTAGCGATCAGAAGAAGATGGTTCAGACAAAACTGCAAATTGGTCATTGCAAGGACTAATTTGAACATAACAATGTGTTGACGCCTTCCAAGAATAGCTCCACAGCCGGTTTTGTCTCAAAATCAGACCCGTTACTATTGATCCAGGAGAACTATTCAGTGGACATGGGATTCACAGAGTCAAAGAACTGAGAGGATTATTATTGAGAAAGTTGCCGAGTGTTGACAAAAGAAAACGAAACGAAAGGAATAATCGAGCCAAAGCAAGGTGTGCCCACACTGTAACGAACAATCTAGTCAGTGTCCAGTATTAACGAGGCTCAACCTACCTTACCTCCCTCGATATGTAGAGCAATTTGAAAGAGGAGTAATAAAAGGATAGAAGGATCAAGTCTTCGGCTTTAATCAATCCCATCTGAAGGATGCACTCCTGCATTCAATTTCTATTTTGAATCGTAGTGGCGTATTTAATGGGTATGTGGCGTATACATTAGAAGAAGAAAAGAGGTGTCCGGCAGGACGATGCCATATCGCCAAAACTTTTCGGTGCCGCTCTCGAGAATATCATGCGTCATTTGGAATGGGAAGACTTGGGAGTGAAGGTCGACGGCCGCTATCTACATCACCTATGCTTTGCAGACGACATTGTGCTCATGACACCGAGCATCGAGCAGGCAGAACGAATGCTGGCCGAGTTTGACAATGCTTGTGGAAAGATCGGCTTGAGGCTGAACCTAACGAATACGATGTTCATGAAAAACGGACTGGTACCTGATGCTCCTTTCACGTTGAACGGAACGAATATCTCCGAATGCTCTAGCTATGTGTATCTAGGTCGGGAAGTCAACATGATGAACGACCTAGCTCAAGAGCTGTCCAGAAGGAAACGCGAAGCGTGGGGAGCATTTAAGAATATCGAGGGAGTAGTGAAGAAGACAAAGAACATCCGGCTCCGCGCTCACCATTTCG